AGTCGAGTGTTTGAAATAAATCCTTCTGTGAGATGATGTGGCTTCTTACACAGAAGAAAAAACTAAAAGCCAAACCGATAAACCCAGTAACAAAACCAGCAGAGCGACTGGAAACATCAGTCGAATCGCGATCTCGATTCCATTTCGATTTATCGTGCAGCCCTACATAATTCCATTACATGTAACTAGGTTGAGCCCTTAACACGGTCATCAAGGCATCAAAATGTGCAACAAACACTTGCAATACAAAATGCCATTCATAAGCTAAAATGTACTCTCTTCTCACACACAGCTTGACATACTCGCTCAAGGCAAGTTCTGCAATCCTACTGTATGTGTACAGTGTGTACACTGAGCACTGCTGTTCAGTTGGCTCGTTTGGGGCCAAATTTCTTTTTATTTTTGATACATTTGTATTTTTGAAATATATAAAACATTTTATTTTATTTGTATGAATTTGACTTATGAGATTTACCAGTTGTTATAATTTCTATTTTGTGCTGGTCAATTATGAACAATAGTTAAATTCGAACTTCTAGCAAAAACGTGAGAGAATTGCGTGGAGCCGAAGGGCCGCTGCTGCAAATATTTGAATGGCTCCTCCCCTAACAGTAATTTCACTCCAAACTTTTGCTAAAACTTGAGAACCCTGTAAACACACACACACATATATACATATCTATATATATATCTATATATATATATAGCAGTAGAGCTATTACAGTGGCTTCATGGGTGCTCAGAGCGCTTTGGAAAGAAGGGGATGCATTTTTGCATTCCATGCATTTTTAGACGCTGGGAGCAGGGGAAACTATTTAAAAACGCCTTATTGTATTAATTATTTGGGCCAGTGTATCGATTCTCGTATCACATGGAGAAGGACAACGATAGATCGTCATATCAATATTTTTTCCCACCCCTAATGTCTATGTGAATCACATACGTACAGGGTTCGTCCTGGGGGAAAAAATGGTCTTCTGTAGTTACACAAGTTAAGATTTGCTAAATTGTACATTGCTGTCATTCCACTATATAAAGACTAGTCTGAAGTAATGAGATTTATTGTGATTTTCTGTTAGCCCTATTTTGTCTACTAAGCTGCTGAGCATGCTCATAACCTTTTCAGTCTGCTGATACACAAATTAAACAAACTAGGAAAGTTCCACAAAACAATTATGTAATGCTAATACTCAACTTCATCAATCAGAATTATTTCATTCCATTTTAAACAAAAGGTCCCCATGTGAACGTGGCTAATGTAATTCAGATGGGTTGCACAGGGTTTGTGGTCTGCGCTGTGTTGTCCTGTTGCTTGATTAGGGCTGTTATAGGTGCTTGCTTGAGTTTTTTTCTGTGTGGTCAAAAGGGTTGTGTAAAGTACTGACCTGCACGCTCTCCCTTTAGAGTATCCCATACATTGCAGTTGAAGTCATCGTAGCCAGCAAGCAGCAAGCGGCCACTCTTAGAGAAGGCCACAGAGGTGATGCCACAGATAATGTTGTCATGCGAATACATCATCAGTTCCTGGTCTGCGCGAAGGTCAAACAAACGACAAGTGGCATCGTCCGAGCCTGTGGTGAACGCATTACCATTTGGGAAGAACTGAAGAAATGAGCACAATTGAAAATGGATATGAGCATTTTCAAACTAACAGTAAACAGTAAGTATTATGAAAGCATTGCACAGGCTCAATAAACCAGTATCAGACACTGCTGAAGACTTTTCTCTTTGACACTCACACTGACAGCATTTATATCAGAAACATGTCCCGTGAAAGACTGTCTGCACATTCCGTCTCGGATGTCCCACAATTTCGAGGACGCATCACAGGCACCAGACACAAAAGTCCTAGAGTCTGGGCTGAGAGACAGGCTCATCACATCTCCACTGTGCCCTGTGAATGTGGTGGTCTGCTGACCAGTCTCAATGTCCCACAGAGCACTGCAAAGGAGAAAGAGAGCTGGGTCACATTCAGTACAAGATCACCAAACTGACAACTGAAACTCAAATGCAGACTTGAAAAATTGAACCATTAAAATCTACAAACTTCCGTATGTGGATGGCTTAAGAAAGCCTGTAAGCTTTAAACTACAAGAGATTCAAAAATGGTGACAGGTGAAGTGATAAAGGCCTTGAGATAACTTGCAGTACCTTCTATTGCCATATCTTAACACTATCAAAGCACAAGTAAAATCAAATACACAAATACTTGTGGTAAAATAAAATGACAAAAATAATAACTACAATATAGGTAAATGTTTTAATAGGTTATGACATTTGTTTGTGATGCTATGTTTTATTTATTGTGCATTGGGTGGTGCTGTCCCACTACTTTGCTTTCACACTAAGGCAACTAAGGACCAATTTCAAATGGCCTTTATTGCATCCTTGATGGGCACTTCAGGAAGGGGACACCATTTGTAGGGACATTCCAAATGAAAGTGAACAACTGAAATTCATGAAGGGCCCTTCCAGAAGTCCCTTAGTGAAGGGAACTTAATGTCTAATGTTAGCAACTGGCTAATAAATTGTTAGATTTTACTCAGCAGTGATTGAGTTGTTAGAGGCTTAGAGTAAGTTAAGCACAGATATATTTTCACTTGCCTACACTTGAACACAATGACTGAGCATTTGAGAATCTCCACGTATTGCAGATGAGCAAACACTAAAAAATATTCTTGCAGATGTAAATGCGGACATCAAATAGAAGTCGGCGGCAATGTTCCCTCTAAGCTGCGCTCGTGCGCGGCTGTGCGGAAAAAAATTATATGCTGTGCACAGGAGAGACGTACGCAAAAATGAGTTGGGAAAGGCATTTGATTGAATTGCAGTAATAATCGCAATGCTCGGCCAAACCGCTATAGAGCTGGTGTCGCTACAGTGTTAGAACCGGTCAATGCGGTTTACAGGTTTCATAGAAAGAGAATGATGTGTGCCAAATCACTCGCTGTAGAAATCGAATACTTTTAATGGTTGCGGCCAAAATAGCTCAACACGAGAGCCAATGCAAACGCAATGACATGTGAAATAAAAGGTCATCATGTTTTAAACAAGCGTGGCTTGATTAAGTGGTGGAAATAACAGAGGATGGGCACAGAACAGTAACAAAACTCAGAGCCATTTACAGTCACACAGGTGTAGTAGTGTGAAAACTCTAACGTTACTATTTGTTTTAGATAACTAAAAGAATTCATGTTTACGTTTTTTTTTTTTAATTGATTCAAAAAATGTTTTTTTTATATATTATTATATTATGAGCCTAATAAATCATTGCCCTCAAAAAGGAAATTCATGAGCAATAACAGCTTTATTTTTTTTTATATTAGCTATATGTTATATCATATTATTATAAAGAATTTAACTGTTCTTGTGAGATTTTAAATGATTTTTAATAGCATTTCTTGGTAAGTAACAGAGCACTGTAATAAAAAAAAAAGTTTTCTCAGGTAACCTGAAATGTGCATAATTTAGTTGCATCAAATATAAATAACAAAATATAAATAACACATTACAATTCTAAGTTACACACTTTTGTGTGTGTGCGTTGTACTGTCTGATATAATTTTTTTTTTGAAGAAGAAAAAATTAGAGGGAACATTGGTTGGCGGTCATCTATTACCATCTGAAGTTTGATTTCAGCAAATCAGTTCAATATTAGCAGTAGAATTTGTAGCAAGGTTTTTTTTTTGTTTTTTTGTTTTTTTTTACAGAAACACTGAATGACCAATAATGTGTCAAGCACCACTAATAGTCTATACATTCTATTACAATAAATAAACATTGTAAAAAAAAAAATGCTTGATTGTTTTGTTAAAAGTTTAGTTGTTATGCTTTTAAATAATTTCATATGTGAATGTATGTGTAGAGAAAGCAGTTAAAATCATCAACACAATGAATGAGTAAAAACCAACACAAAAAAACGTTGTCCCAGAACTCACCCATTAATGTGTTAAAATTTAACACATTAACAGTATTTAAAAACACATCTTTTCTAAGAGTGTACAATTATTTGATGACGTTATCAGTCCAAAAATAAAAGTATACAGAAAATGCAACTTTAATAAATCTAATAAATAAAAATATAGGCTACAACTGACTGTATTTAATGTATTGTGCCCAAGATTTAATTACTTTGTTTTAAAATATTTGAAAACATTTTAACATGCTGCTACATGCGCATTCAGTTGATCAGCAGTTTCTAGCCATGCAGCCTTTCTCTCTGGTTTTATGACAGCTGTACTTTATGGTTATTAGTAGAACATTAAAACATTAAATATAAAATTGCTAAATTAAAAGTTAAAATCACTAAATTAAAAATGAAAATAAATAATATAAAATAGACTATATTTTATATGATAAGAGGAATACATATTTGAGCTAGTAATTAGGGCTGTATTAGCTAGCTTACATTTGATTTACAGTTACTGCTATCATAAAAATACACTTTTAATGTAGGATTAAAATTCTACATGTCACATTTAATGTCCAACAACAAATATTTTAGCAGAATGCATATTTTATTCAGAATTACTGCACGATTATTCTATTGCGTTCCATCTGTTTAGCGCGCATGCGCACAGCAGCGCTTGTTCACTCACGTAAGCCTCACCCACTCCTGAGTCCTGACAGCAAAATGGATATACAGTGGGTACGGAAAGTATTCAGACCCCCTTAAATTTTTCACTCTTTGTTATATTGCAGCCATTTGCTAAAATCATTTAAGTTAATTTTTTTCCTCATTAATGTACACACAGCACCCCATATTGACAATAACAAAGAGTGAAAAATTTAAGGGGGTCTGAATACTTTCCGTACCCACTGTATGTGCATGACTTTCTAACATTTACAGATGAAAAATATACCTGTGACGTGTCAGTTATGCACTGAGGAAAACATAATGTCTCAAATGCATTAAACAACACAAATATTCGCCGTTTGCCATAATGGATCGATTTGATCCATGATCGACATTAAGGGAATGTGAACACAGCAGCAACTGAATGCTACCCCAGATAGTCACGCAGTGTGAAAACCACGGCGATCCGACGAGTTTGAAAATCATGCAGTGTGAACTCGGCATTAAGAATAAGCGTGCACATCAAATTATCCTGACTCATTGAACCTGGATCGAATTAGTGAGATTGCATGAACTTAAATTGTCGTTTATGAAACCGCTTTAGTCCAGATTGATTTGTTAGGTTATTTCAAGTCAGATTTTGGACTTTAATCCCCGCTTTTCTTAGCGTCTTTTATGAAACACCCCTCTGGAAAGACCGTTCTCCATGAGAACGTTAAGTCTGTTCTTTAGCAGTTCAATAGTAGAAAATATCTGAACTACTAACATTCATTTTTGAACTACTGATAGTCATTTTAACAGTACCAGAACATTGAAAAAAAAAATTTAAAACACAAGACAATTACAATACTGTTAAAGGTAAATAATCTAGTCCAGGGGTGCCCAATCCTGTTCTCGGAGATCTACCTTCCTGCAAAGTTCAGCTCCAACCCTGATCAAACACATCTGAACCAACTAATTAGGATCTGAAGGAGCATTTGATAATTACAGACAGGTATGTTTGATCAGGGTTGGAACTGAACTCTGCAGGAAGGGAGATCTCCAGGACCAGGGTTGGGCACCCCTGATCTAGTCATTGAAAGCTGTGATGCACTCACCATGTAGTATCTCCAGAGCTGGTGACTATCTGACTATCATCCAGAAAGCGACAACACGACAAATAACCTGGTGAGGAAGAAAAAAAAAAATTATATATCCAAACAGGAGCTTCAACCTACTGCATGATAAATATGCAGACCTAAGGCTGGGTCACACCAAGCCGACTTCAAAGAACTAGCAGTGACAAAACCCGACGTTGTTGTCTTCTTGCTTCGGCAGTGTCTGGATAAAAAGCTGCAGTTGAACACACCGCTCAGACTACAGCTGACTGCAAAGTAAACATCTGCATTCTGCGTGAGAGGAATTAGCCGTATACATCAGCAGCTATCAATAGTATATATTCATCATTTAAAGGAGAAACCGAAACAAGGATATACGAGAAATACGCAGATATACGAAATGTAAACAAAGCAGTGCTTGCGTACCATTTTGAATATCAGTGTTAATGTTAATAACTTTCTTCATTTTAAGCAGCTCATGTTGTTATGAAAATATTCACATAATGGAATGCTTGGGTAAGATCACATAACATTACAACAGTCTTCTGTCTGTGCCGCCTTCATTTACTTGCCCGTTTTCATTGCTTTAATTTTAATTCTCGAGCATGGACTCGTTCACTAAACTGAACATCCAATCAGAGATATCATGACGACCCCAATGCCGATTCGTCTCCGATGTGAGCCCGACGTGTGGAAGACGCCAAACAAACTAGCGCAACAGATGCTCACCGATGGCCCGCCGTTGACTGACTGTCGGCTTGGTGTGTCCCGGCCTTGATGATGCTAATCCTGCTGACAGTTTACCTGTGTGTCCTGGAAGTTCTCTAGTGACTCTGACATTGCCCTCACGGGTTTTAAGGCTATAGATTGAGCAGATGTTGTCCAGGCCTCCACAGGCTACATAATTCCCTGAGGGAGCGTAGGCACAAGTCATCACCCATGATGACCTTAATGGAATGGCATGAATCTGGAAAGAAACCAAACAAAAATGGTTGCACTTGCTTTTCCCATGTGTTATGAAGAATGAGAGCCAATGCTGAATTCAGAAACCGCATGCTACTCCTATTATTTCTGCCATATAACAAAATGGTAAAAATAGTAAGAGTAGTTTGCTAGTATATGGTTCCAAATTCAGAGCCAGGATGTACCGCAAATCCTCCCATGGGTTTGGAGCACCAAGAGGCTAAGTATATGACAGAACTGATATGCAACCTACCACTTTCATTTTGATGACTTAGAATTTTATGATTTACATTAGCGTTTTAGCTTCTACAAAATTTAGGTTAACTGATTTTAATTTTAATTTACTATAATACTTTATTATTCTTTTTAAAAAAAATCAGTCATTAAATTTGTGACAGTTATTATATTCTTGGGTAATATAGCAGTGCATTTTAGATGTATATTCACTTGTTGGGCTGGACTAACCTTGTTTGTGGTGTAGCTGTCCCAAATGATGAGTTTGCCATCTTGTGAGGCACTAACTAGTAACCTTAATGTTTAAAAAAAAAAAGTTGGAGGAGGGGTTAAAGAGTAAACCACTGTTCATAGTACACATCACAGATTAAAAATACTACAAGGTGAACATGCAGACAATGATCGATGCTTATAACATGAACAAACATGGCAAATGCTTATGATAATTAATGACAAACACTGCAAGCAAATATGGACACAAACTCCACCCATCTAACAATTGTGTCTCCTGCCTAAAGCACTAGAATGGATGCACAGGTGGAGAAGGGGTGAATGATAGAGGGAGAAGAGAAGGGAGGAAAAGAAAGACTGGAGCAGGAGGCAGCCTACATAATCCTAGAACACCCCTGAGTTGTGAGAGGCCTGCTGTATTATTCATTGAGTGTACACTGACAGAGGTGCAGGGTTCCTCTGAGAGTGCCCATCCTCCAGTCCACTCAATCTCTTTCTGTCAACTGACCTAGAATCAGTAGCCCAGTGCATGGCGTAGATTTTGGCTAAATGGCCTCGGAGTGTCCGCCTCGTTCTCATCTGGATCCTCCCAACTGAATCCAGACCAGCTGTAATCTAAACACACACAGAACTCTTAATTTACAGTGACATTATAAAGCAAGCAGGGGACATTTCATCAATCCAAGGTGTGCTACTGATCACTCAAATGCGGGAAAAAGAGCTGTATTTGTTGATTTGACTTATGCCAATTATCTAAAATGAACATAGCACTGACTGAAGTGCAGAATTAAACAGCTTTAAAATGTACAAGAGCCATCTCTTCCAACATAAAAATAAATAATCCGAATAGAAATTATGAAATCTTAAATCACCAAAATCACCAGGGCGGGGGCTGAACGTTTAAATTTTGATGGAGGACTTGGCATGTAAGAGGTTGTTTAATATTTCAGCACACTTAAGAGCATGTTCAGCATGTACATCAGCAGCCAATTTGCATGTTTGTGCTGAGCTCAGAGAACAGGTGAGCATAGACATGCCCCATAGACATGGGTTAGACCAGTACTGCTCTTATAAGGAGGGGGACCCAGCAGGGATGGTGGCAGAGCTGCTTACCTGGGACAGGCTGGAGTCGCTGCATGCTTTCCTGGCATCCTGCAATGGGAACAGCAGCATGTCAGAGTGCAGTCATTCTACTGAACAGGCAGAGGAAAACACATGTATTCTATTTCCTGGCACTCTGGTCTACATGAAACTTATATCAAATAAAAATGAAAAGAACAAAAAGTCTAAAGTTTGAGGTTGGTAAGATGTTTAATTTTTTTTTTTTTAAAGAAGTCTCTTATGCTTGCCAAGGTTGCTTTTATGTAATCAAAAACAACGTAAAAACAGTAATATTGTAAAATATTACAATTTAAAATAACTTTTCTATTAATATATCTAAAAATGTAATTTATTCCTCTGATGCCAAAGCTGAATTTCCAGCAGCCATTACTCCAGTCTTCAGTGTCACACGATCCTTCAGAAATCATTCCAATATGCTGATTCAATGCTCAAAAACATTTCTTATTCTTATCGATGTCGAAAAAAGTTGTGCTGCTTAATATTCTTGTGGAAACTGTGATACATTCTTGTTCAGGATGCTTTGATGAATAGAAAGTTTAAAAGAATAACATTTGTCTTAGTAAAAGTCTTTACTGACGATTTATTGCATCCTTGCTAAATAAAGGAAAACTAAATGTATGTATCAATAATTATGTTGTGTGAATTAACACAGCTCAGGATTTTGAAGCTCCTTTAATCAAATCTGATGGCACACAGCTGCTTTTACTAATTCAGTGGTTCTCAACTCCGGTCCTGGGGACCCACTACTCTGCACATTTTGTCTCTCTTTTCTGACACACTCAGTTCAATTCATGGATCTCTCTCCTAACGAGCTGAGGATCTGAATCAGATTTTTAAATAAGGGAGACATCCCTTATATTCAGTGGCGGCTCGGCATCCATTCTCGGGAGGCACAGCTTCCCCATAATTTTGAGGTGACGATTTAATGTTAATAAAATTCACAATTCATTTCAGTTCATGTCTCAGAATGTGTATAATTTGTTTGTAATTTCACAGTTGTAATACCATAACGTGAAAGCGCCGCTTTTCTATCGCGAATGTGCCGCATCTGCTGATGTAATTACAACCGCTAATGATAGAGAAAGGGTAGGGGGAGGCCGGGGGAGAGCTGAGCTCTCGTGCCTTCGTTGGTAAAAAAAAATTAGCCAATCACCATCGAGTGTTCACTTTCAGCGCTGAGGAGTGTTGAGAAAAGAACCCTAGCATGGGAGGCTAGATAATAATCGGCAGGGATCCCAGACCAATACAATTAGAGTGCCTCCTCTATTTTAAAACCCACGAGCCGCCACTGCTTATATTCACACGCTGGCAAGTCGTAATTACAACGTAAGGCACGTTAAAGTCACTTTGGTAAAGAATGTGTATCGGTATGTTAACATTTTTTCTGTTTTTATTCATGTTATGAAAGTGCTGTAAACTGAATATATTTTAATGTAATTGTACAATACTATCGTATTTTAAAGATTTCATTTCAACAAATTTGCAGTCAATACAGACGCTGCATATCTATAGTTTTTGGCTGCATCCATTGCATCCAACATGTTTTCTCACTGACAAGCCCCCGCCTCAAACTGAGGACTTGACGAAAATTTTGAGTTTCCCTCTATTAATCAGGAATTTGTGGTGGTGTTCATGTGCAACCAACTCAAATACAATTTTTCCAACATGACTTGAAAGAACCAATGTAAAATGAGCCAAAAGATTTAACTTAAGGAGTGGCAAAATCCTTTGAGCTGACCAGAAAGGGCATCAGTTCTTACTCTGATCTGATTGCGCAGCTGCTCTGCCTCCTGCCGCAACTGCTCCAGCTCACTCATGGTCCTGCAAGCGTTTCACTCCTTTCCCAACTTTGATAATACTGACAAAGACCTGCAATGCACACACAAGCACCAAGTCACATTAAGAAGTCAATAAAGGACTGCTTAATAACAGAGCACTCAGGCTGGATTAATAATTCAAGCCACTCACGCAAACAATTTCCATATATTCATTTGATTGTCATGTCAGAGGTCCCACAGACCTAGTAAGACAGCCCCAATGGATAGTTTGTGAAGAACACAGAAAGTGCTCCAGTAGCATTAATGTTTTTACTAGACTGAATAGACCTAGGAACTGTATCATATAATTAAGTAGAGGAACAAACACTCCAGCTATTGCACTGCCAACTGAGAGCTGGGCACGCTGTGCTCCTTTGTTTAATGAGGGGTAGCACTGCTTGGCACTGCCTACTAGTTGATTTCCCTAAAATTTAGCTAACACCACCCCAATAAGGAGGTTATATGCAGTATGATACTCGCTTAAAGGCTGCAAATTTATCAGTTAGTGCAAGTAATATCAATACAAAATGCAAATAAAGGGACCTCACATCTTTTCATTATAACTTTTAGAAATATTTTAATTATGATTTCACACACAATTTTAGAACTGAGCATAGCTTTAAAAAATCTAAGCTTTTTCAGATTTTGCGTTTTAATATTGCCATGTTTTGCATGACTCAATTAACCTTACCTATAGCTTTCAGTCTTATTTCAGCCTAAAAGCAAAAAGAGTAACTGAATAAAATGCACAGTGACCTGTCACATTGGTGGTTTGACACAATATGGGAATACCCCTTGAGATCACTGAGGTTTACCCTGACCTCTGTGAAATCTACATTTCAGCATAAGTTCTTTTCGGGAAGCACAGTAGCATGACTGCAAGCAATGCTGCTAAAAACAGGAAGACTGCTGGTCCCAACCCTAGTAAACCAAATTACAGGAAAAGTAAGCATTGATCAGTGTGCATTTTAAGCAAAGAACTTTCCATAATCTAACACTTTACACATTAACTGGGACATAATATTAGGAATAACATACACAAAAAGCTCAGGTTGATAATAATAATGGAGTGGGAAGAAAAATATTTAATATGCTCGAACTAGCTGGATTGACATTTTAATTCAAAATTGAATATGTACATCGGATATTCTGATAAATCCTCCATAATCCAGATGTGTTAATCCCTTATTAAACCTGCTCTGACACTCGCAGCCTGTTAAACCAGTCGCGATAAACGCGAAAACAATCCGTTGTAAATAAAATATCTTCACAGAAACGACCATTTTGCCCGTTAATTGTTACATTCGTGTTGTTCATCGAGTTTAATGCGATTAAATGTAATGTTAACATCAGCGTTACGTTACATATCACATTATTTCAAGGTAATTTAGCGAACTGTTTTGACAGATTCAATACCACATGTTGCACTAAACAGAAACCTCCCTATAAGACACCATTTACGCGAAAAAAAATGTATAAAAGAACCTTTCCCTGCAGATTTGTCATCCGTCAAGCTAATCACAGAGTTACATTATGATTTGGTTAGTTTTGGTTAGCAAAGTGGCTAGCAAACGGTGAGTGTATCATGTCAGTTACTTTAGACCACCACACAAACATTGACACATTACCTGATGTAACAACACTCCAAAATCCTCCGACCGCCTTTAAGGGTGAGCAGATTCTTTATTTCAAAACATTAACGCACTCATTTCGTATTATTTATATCCAAAAACAAGGACCCATGCGCCAAATTTACTAGTTTCAAGGCAATTCACAGAGCGATTACCACACCCATACTGACATTGAGAGCATGGCAACAATTGGATGAAGGGGGGAAATGAATTATTTTAGTGTTTTTTTAACAGAAGATATTCAGTGTCCTTGTGTAAAACTGAGTATATTGTGTCTCTTATTACTTTATATAGTATATTATCATGAAGTCAATGTGTTTTTATCAAAATAGTTTGACATTTGTCTACGCCTACCTACTCGGGTCACCCGCGCTTGAAATGGTTCTGGCTATCAGCTTCCTCAATTATAAAAATGACTGAAGTAGTTTGATACATGTGGATACAGTGTCAAAGGCATTTGATTAGTAACAATACGTATGCAGACCTAAAAGAAAAAATCTTTGAGAATAGACATGAGAATAGAAATTTTTAAAAAGTATATATGATTGTGTTCATCTATAATCTACTACATTCAGTAATTATTAAAAACATGCTGATCAATGATATTAGTTGTACAGCAAAGGGTTTTTATTTGTACTTTGTCACATGAATATTCAAAAGCTTCCCACTTATTTAAAGCCACAGGGTACATTGGGTGGTTGCCAATTTTCCACTTCTCAGAGTGAGTTTTATTTCAGAGGCAATTGGTTCATAATAAATAAATACACGGATAAGAATAATAAATCTTATAAATAAAAAGTTATTTGGAATTAAAGTTTGAATGCAATTATCATATAATATTTATGGTCAATATACAAATATGCATTAGGCAGTAGTGACACGAATGAAGCCATCTGTGGCATGCCATGGGTTAACGAATGCAAACTACACAATCACTACTTCATGGTCTCACTCCTTCTGATCTATAAACCCTGTCTACAGCACTCAAATATAGGAGTAATTAAGTTGCAAAACCAGTATTAAGTGACATTTAGAATTACCTAGTATGCTGAAGTCCACCGGTGGGAGATCAGTCAGTGGAAGCACCCGGCTCCCTCTGTAGAGTATGTGCTGATGGGAGCACTGCCACCGGGATAAGCAGTGGGGACTTTAGTTAACAGCCAGCACGTCTACACTGAGAGCTGCTGGTGACAAGGTGGGGCTGGATGGGGGAGGCTGAATAGTGAAAGTGGGAAGATGATGTCTTAAAGAGACAGTAGATGTCACTGTCTGTTCAGTTGGTCAGTGTCACAGCTGAGAATGTGTTAAACAGAACAATAAGAACTGTCCTGTGCATTTAATTATTTACCAATTGTTCACATTATCTGTGTACGCACAAAAGCTGCAATGATTCCTGAATGCGGGATCCCTACGTAATAAAGGCCTGTCAATAATTTATTAAAATGGAAAGCTTTTCCATGTAGTGCATTGTCAACACTTTCATTTCAAGTGCTTGATTGAATCGCTTGCTGTTAATTATGTTTATATTCAATATATTTGCTGACTAAAACATGCCCACTAGCTTGATTTAACACATCCTGCTGCACTAGACGAACATCATATTTGCATTTATGTATCGCATTTGATATTAGTTAGAAAACTGCTCATTGAAAACGGCTCAAATATCACAAAAGCAAATCAGCCTTGATAGTCAAAAGTCAAATTAAGGGCTGAGAATTTCCACACACATACTGTATCCATCCAAAGGTACTGACAGCACTAAAGGGATTCCAGTTACAAAGGAAGTATTTTGAGTCACTATATATCTGAGGATGATATGACAGGTCATGAAACATGAACCTGCTAAGTCATCCACCTCACATCCTCGCTGTTCCCTAAAATCCTAAAGAAATCCATAAGCTAATTTAAGCCATTCTCCATTTCAACCACACAGCTTTATTTTCAGAGCCTTGTTGATGTAAGGTGTCTAAAATTTCAACTTGTGGGAAAAAAAAATCTTGGATAACCCATATCAAATCTAATGCTTACAGTATTTAAGGCCATCCAAGGTTATGTCTTAATTTGTGTATAATATAATATAATGGGTTAAAGGTTACATTTGTACCACTGCATTACTTCAGACAGAAGGAAAGCAGTGTTCAGTATGTGCCTGTTGGGGGTGCTCCGGTAACACCATTTCTAAATCATTTAAAGGTCAGGGATCACCATCTGCCCTTAATTTTGAAATGAAACAAAGAGACATAATCATATTTCAGATCTTCTAAAATACAGCTTTAATAAATTGGTTATAAATGCATCTTGATTATATTACATGTTAATGTAGGAGAGATTGAAAGAGACATGCATACATTTTATGACTGTTCATTCCATTAAATAATCTATTTTACAAATAAATAAATAAATACATCTCCTTCAGCTATTCTACAATTTTAGTCAGTAATTATATTCATAGTTTCGTAACAGCTCTGGTCATAGCAAAACTAGTGTGATTTACTACAGGACAAGTGTCATCAATGCCCGCATACTGTGCTCATACATGGCATATGATTTGAAATATTGTCATATATAGTATGTTTGTGCTGGATTTTTGGTCTGTCAAAAAATGTATATTAATAGTAGTTACATTCACTTTAAAGTTAAAATATGGGATCATAAAGAGAGGGAAATCTGTTTTGTGTATCATACATGCAATCATCAGATTTCCCAAATCGTTTGTAATATTTAAATTGAAGGTGATTGGAAAGCCTAAAACAGTACTACGGGGAGACTGGAAGGACAGCTGATCGTCCTTGCAGCATCAAACCATGTGTAAGCATGTGTCCCCCAGACGTGTTCAAAAACTTGCAAATGCCTTCAAATAAAAATGTGGTAACAGCTCACAGCAATAACTGGCAAATCTGGTGCAGTCCATGAGGATGAGATGCACTGTAGTACGTAAAGCAGCTGATGGCCACACAAGATACTAACTGTTAGGGTTAGGATTACTGTTTTGATATTGAAAATATTTCTGTTTAAATTTATAACAAACCTGCCCCCAAATCAATGGTTTGTATGCATGAACTACTAAATCAATGTGCATAACAGATAGCTGTGATCATTTTTTAACAAGCTTACAATGCCCACAGAGCTTTTCGACAGCCCCGTGAAACTAATAGATCTGTAGCTTTTAAAATAGTGATAAATAGGACCTTCTGGCTCACCTCAGGTCGGACAGAAAGTGCAGCATTAAAGGCATCGACAGCTTTGTCAAACTCTGAGCTGAGGTTGAAGAGCACACCAAGGCCTGTCTGGAGATCAGGGTCCACTCCTTCAGCGTTCTGCTGCACTGCTTCCTGATAGAGCTCCAACACCTCCACCAGCTGAGAGCTGCATACACACACACACACACACATATATAACACCATTAGCAAAACACTGAACAAAAGTGAAAACTAGGCTGGGTGATATGAGGATATATATCGTGGCGATAATATAAATTGTCAATCAATATTGATTTTGCTATATAGTTTCTATCACGGTATCTGTGCAGGCATGACTGCTTAAAGTTATCAACATGTCAGAGCAACAGAAACAAGAATGAGAAAATGAAGAGTGCGACTTGCTTAAAAGAGAACTCAATTTGGCAATTGCACACTGTCTGACAAGTGGGTTTCCTAAACGGGCAAATGAACACATTATCATGTCAAAATGGCAAGTATTCACACAAACACAGTTGGTTATGTTATATTGTTAAGTGAACCTAAACACATGGTAGAAATGTTTATCAATACAATGTATCCATGCATTAAGTCTTAAAGTGACAGCAGCCTAATATACTGTACCTGCTGCTGTCTGTGCCATTACTGTTAATCAAACAACAAAAGAAGAGAAAATCACACATTGCTCTTGACTGAATAATTTTCATAGCTTTAATAAGGATAAAAAATGAATTCATACAATGACAACTATATAGTGTTTCATTGATTATTAAATTTCTGTAGTATATCGCGCTTGAATACTACTGCTAGACATACCTGAAAAATGTAAAGCGCTGTTTATTACATTTACATCTGTGTTCTGTTGTATGCATTTGTTATAATGCTTGTCATTTGTATCTTTGTTCTTATTTTACTACTGATTGTTTAGTTAGTCTGATACATTTGCTGCAGTATTAAAACTGTTATTGAAACTGGTAACAAGAACTGTGAAATTTAACCATCTAAAAATTTGGTATCATAACAGCCTTATTTCTAGCAAAAAAATTAATGAATTGTTATATAAGACTTTGGTCATATCACCTTCTCCTAATTTTAACTTACAATCTTTCAGTTAGTAGTTTTATCCACTATGTCACACTACTCCCACCTTTATTAAAACTCAAAAAGCAAACCACATACATATGCTTTATATATGCAGTATGTGGACAATAATTCACGTGAGTGAATGTGAATCATACCATCCGAGAGTGGAGATGGGGGATATGGAGGACCCTCTGCGGCGAGGCAATGGGGAACCGTCTAGAGGGCTGCGGTCCTGGAGTAGATGTCTGTATCTGGGGTTGTATCTGATCCAGCGGTGGAGAGCCTCACAGGCTTCCGGCTGCTGTCCCGTGTTGGTCAGGCTCACTGCCAGGGCCATCAGGGCCTTCAGATTGTTTGGGTGCAGTTCCAAACATCTATTTGAACAAAGACAGACAGACAGAACATGGCAAAATAAAGTGAGTTGCTGAGTTTGGGGTGGGTGGGACTACAGTATCTGTTTGTCCAAAAAAAGCAAAAAAGTGTTCAGAAAACAATAACTGATTTTGCAATTCGATTTGTTACCACTAATTATGCAAAAGCTCTCTTCATGTAACATGTTTGCAAATATAAGACTTTTAGCTCTGCATAAATCACAAAACCCCCATTATTGTCTACTCACCTCTGAAGACAAACAATGGCTGCCTGCTCATTCTCATTCTCTGCTTGTGTGGTACCCAAAACCTGCCAAGCCTTTGTAGAGGGAAAAAATGCACTCTTGGTTGAAATAAATGTCACAAAATTATTAGAGCAAAATCAAAATAAAAAGACTTGAACATATACAGTATATAGGCTGATATATAGTGTTCAATTAGTGGGGCTGCTGGTTTTCTAAAACATATTGTTGTTCCCTCTCTTTATGTGCTTGGCCAGTGCATTTAATGGCATGTCACTCTGGGGGCGATGGCAGTGGAATTTAATGTGGTTTTGATTCAAGTTAAACAGGATCATATTCATAAGCCATCCCAGAGGTTTACGCCATCTGTCTGGCATCGCCTTGGCTCATAAAGCATGGGAAATTTTATTAAATATTTGATGGTGCTGACTGGGCAATAATGAGATATAGCAGGGGATGTGAAGAAGAAAATGGATTTGCGCTGGCAATCACATATGCTTGCTTTGGGCACTGAAAATATTAAGTCAGTTACTAATCTGTTTTTTGTTTGTGAGGTGATAAAACATTCTGAGTAAATGGAGTTGAAAACAGGACATGATTCTGTTGCATGATTCTAGGGCTGCCTTGATGTCTACTGATTACAGCAGCATTCACAGACGGAACCTCAAAAGGGACGGATCTGGAATGCTCTAAATATAAAATTCTTAAACTTTTACAACGGTTGGTCACCCCAATCTTCTATATATATTACTATTCAAATGTTTGGAATCGGTTATGTTTTTGAAAGAACTCTCTTGCTCACTAGCTGCAATTATTTAATAAAAATACAGTAATAACAATTATATTGTGTAACATTGTTACAATTTATACTACAGGGCAGTTAAACGCTTGATTTTGATTTGCTGATGAATGTTCAGGGAAACGCATGGCTAAAGGAGGTTCAGGCAGGTCTTGACTACATTAGAGTTTAATATCACTTCGCCAAATGATTTCAGATATTTCAAAGGTCCTTGAACCAAAACCCACAAAGATACTGACCAAGCAAATAAATATATTAAACAATAGGATAAAAATGACAAACTATTTACATGTTTTCCCCCAAAATTGTTTTATTATCTTGAAGTACATACTGTCTTTCTCCTGTTATCTCCCATATAAAAGCACACACATACATACAGTAGACATACACACACACACTCACATTCACACCCCTAGTAAAAAATAAACCTATGCTTATATTTATTTAAAATAAATTTCTTTCATACTAAGTATACTTCAAATCCATTAACATATTTACTGACATATCACTTAAGACTTAATGAATATAAATTATAATTAAACTTTATTTGGAGTATTTATTTATTGCACAATGCACATTTCTTAATATTATGCCTAAAATGTGTTTTAATGTCACTATTAATAAGGATTGTGTGATCTCTGTATAATACCAGTTTTTAAATGCAAGTACATTGAAATACATGTTTGTATTTTTTTCTCACTAGGGACAGAAACAAACATGCAGAGAAGCTTCTAGTTTTATACATATAGTATTATATCCATATATATATATATATATATATACACACACACTCACATATATATCTATACTGAATGTATACCATCGTCACCTTGGATTTTTTTTCCCCTTTTGCTCTGTGTAATGCATGTAATGCAGGGATTGCCTTAATTGTAAAGGATGAATAGTCAACCATCGTTTTGTTTTTTGTTTTTTCACACTTTTTCTCTCTCTTAATAGCAAAAGATGCCAAGCTGCCTTTGATTTTGACTTTGATGTAAAGTAGTACTTTACTGAAGAGCCTTCAAGACTTCACACGCTAAAATGCTATGTAGACCACTTGCTAAATTTTGGAAAACAGTTAATGTGTAAGGAAGGTAACACACACACACACAAACACATAAATGCTCAATAAATGGGCTGTACTTCTTTTGGAGTCTTTCACCTCTGAGTCTTGAGGGTCTTGTAAGATGGCCACCTCCAGTAGTAGTACAGCACTATTCAGATCCCCATCCCTGCATTTCTGCAGCCCCTGTTCAAAGGCATTGGTGTAGTCTTTGAAAGGGTTACTGGTATGGAAGTAGTATCCCTGCAAGCAACAGGACCAAAAAACAAGCTTAAAGAAACCAATCAAGAGTAAATATAATTATTTCAGTAGAATACTTCAGAGCAGGACTTATTGTAAGCATTTCATAAATCTGGAGAGGGAGATGGTGGTGTGTTGATAATTAGATCATGCTGAGGTCTTTAATATTGCAGTGGAAAGCGCAGTCGGGCTAATCAGAGGCATGGGGAGAAGAAAAGGGCACAGGAACTCACACTTCAAATGATCCACTCCAAAGCCATATGCCCAACATTCACACCATCCAGGACAACAATAAACACAATAAACTCAAATAATATAAGACTCAAATGAATGCAACAACAGATCGCTTCATCTTGCCACAGGCTCTTTAAAAATAACTATTTAAAATACTAAACATCACATAAAAAAAAAAATGAACACAGGGTGTTCAACTCCCATCAAGCCAGCTGAAATGAAAATAGTGTGCACAAATATCATGATTATTACAGTAATCTTCAAGAAACACAAAAAGACAGCCTTGAGTGTGTTTTTGGCAAGAACCACCACACAATTAGAAAAACACAACTAAACCCTGCCATTCTCTTATTTATAAAAAAAAAAGGATATTAAGAATAAGGTCGTAAGAGTTTTTCAACAACTGCACTTAGGAATAATCTTACAAACAACTCCACTTAGGAATAATCTTACAAACTTCTAGCAACCACCCAGAACACCCTAGCGACTAAATAGCAGAATCGCTGTCCATCAACCACCCGAAACACCATAACAACTGCATAGAAATGCCCTAGCAGCTGGAGGCTGTATCACTAAAAGAGCTGTAGCATAGGCAGAACAATAGTTTTTGGCTGTATCTGAACATTCTCTATCTGTTTGGAAGCACACAATGATGAAACATAAGAGAGAATTTTAGATGAAAGACAGCATTATCCAGCATCTGGAGTCTATAACCTTTGAAGTGATAATCTACCACTGTATCAGTTCTGCCATCATAGAAAATGCAATACAGAAGGCAGTGATTATTAAAATACATTCATGCGGTGGTGTGGAACAGCGCCTTTGATCGGTTAACAATGAATATAGTGGTTTCTGTTGGTTAAAGGTGTTGTATGTAATTTTTTGACTACACTAAATCAAAAATATAGCATATGTTTGCAGATATTTAGGAAACATGCTAAGTTCACTCACTCGTTTCTCTGAAAAACAATCCTACAACCAGTTATTCTACTTTGAAATGTGCGTTCCATGTCGGAATGTCCGTTTTTGTTGTGGTCTGTTAGATTCCGCCAATTTATTCAATCGTATTTTGGTACCCCGGGCTGCCAGTTGGCGGAAGACACAGTATATTGCAGCCATGGAAGCCAGCAAACGAATTGGGTCAGAGATTGCAGATTCTACCCAACCTAAAAAGTCTCAGCGTCCATCTAAAAAGCTCTATTTATTATAAAAACCTTTGACCAGATATCAAAAGCCCTGCCTCGCACGTTGACAGGATTGGTTAAATCTTTGTGATGTAGGAAACAGGGGTGGTTTTGCGTTTTTGACACCATCTTTCGGACACCTTAGTTTTAAGAATACTCGGCAATGGTGTTGAATGATGAATTTGCACATGGTTGGTCTTTAAGCATATTAAGAAATGGCATATAGACATGTAAACATTAAAAAACGTGATTTACCACCACAGGGGATGTTTAAAATGAGATTATTTTTAAAACATGAATCATTCATTATTTGAAATACTTTAAGTCATCCTGAGATCCTCTTGGAATTGGCTATTGGGGGGCCCAGCCCATGGTGGAGAACCATTGATGCTGAGCATTCTGATTGGTTGAGAAAATATGTACTGTATGTGTGTGTATTTATATATACATAATAAATATACACAGAAAACACACATATATTATGCAAACAAAAACTTTTATTTTTTATGCGATTAATCGCAATTAATCATTTGACTGCACTAATTTTGTTCTAATGTCACAAATAATAATCTCATGGTTTACTGGGCTTTACATGATTCTTTTGTTGTGGTGCTCTGCATTGTGGCCACATTACCGCATTGGGTGTGCATTACTTTCTAATAATTCAGCAGCGCATGGACAATTCTTACTTACTTAAAATGACTTTTTTTTTATTTTAATATATTTTAAAATGTAATTTATTCATATGATGGAAAAGCTGAATTTTCAGCAGCCATTCCTCCACTATTCAGAGTCAAGTGATCCTAAAGAAATCATTCTATATGATTCTACATGCTGCTTAATATCCATTGATGCTGAGCATTCTGATTGGTTGAGAATACCTTCTCAGTGGGTGAAAAGTTGAGTGGAACCAGGCCTTCACTGTCAGCGTCCTCCAACCAGTTCCTCCGTGCCAGCTCCTCCCACTCTGCCTGCATTTTATCCCAGAACTCAGTGTCTGACTGTGGGAGACAGTTTAACAGCACTTTAGGACACAGCCAATATTAGAATAACATATAAAACGTGACCCTGTAGAGCATTACAGAGAGATGTTATTTGGCATCTATTTAATGATGGTTTAACAATAACTTATTCCAGCAGGGAATACTAAGGATAGGCTTCATTGCATTTGAATTGCTATGTGTTCTCGATTTTAATTGTTCCACATAGGACAAGCCAGACTCACAATCGTGCTCCAGTTTTATGAGGACATATTGATTTTCAGCTATAAATGCTGCAAAGTGATTCAAGGTCAAAAGGTCAACATATTCATCTTTATGGATTCACCAGAATATAATCTGCAAGACTACAGACAGACCTCTCAGCTTTCATACAGTATCTAGTTCTTATCAATGTGAGAGTTCAGCAGAAGCACCACACAATGTATGCATGAGTATTTTTATACAGAGTTTTATGTGTCAGATCAAATATGATAATTCCAGGCAGATTCTGGTTATAGTCCATCATGTACGGCAGAACCCTAAAGGAAAGTATTATCTTAAATGACTCTCTCAGACTGTGTGGGTGTGCATGTGTGTAGATTTGTCTTAAAATTGTTATACACACACACACACACATTTATATATAGACAGAGAGAGGAAGAGAGAGAGAGATCATTAATATCGGAATATTCGGTAACACTTTATTTTAAGGTAACATTGTTACACATGTTACATGTACTTACTAATAATAACAATTAATTATGCATAATTGCATGCAAGTAACCCTAAACCTAATCTTAAACCTAACCATATAGTAAGTGCATGTAGTTAGTTAATATTACTCAGTATTTAAATGTATAATTACACTGTAACAAGGACACCTTAAAATAAAGTGTAACCGAATAATCTTGTGCATGTAATCACAGATCACACTCAGTAATCAGTCTTTGCCCATTTATGTTTTCTCAAGGGCTACTGATCATGACAAAGGGAAAAATCCGCATCACTTTCATGAATGAGGACATTTATTTCAGGCAAACACAGCAAATAACCCTATGAACTTCATTCACGTACATGTCCACCTAGAGCCGATTCACTGAGTGTTTGCATTAAAGAGAAGTGAGCGGAGAGTGCTGTATCTGTGATGAAGGTACCCACTGGATGGGCCAATTAATCACAGAAAATCCTGCACACCACACACAATCACATACAACAAACAGTCACATACAAACTAATCTTTTCCATTTGCATGATTGATACACTGGTATAAATCAAATAAATAAATGTCTCCGTTATCAGCCCAATGGAATATGGATGATCAATCTTTTCCTAGATTGCCTGTGGTTCCCTCAAGCAGATCTGTCACCATGACGAAGAAGTGCCATGCAGATGCAACACCACAAGGGTTCTCCAGAGTCATTCATCTGTACTCAAATAATCACCAACTAGCACAGAAAACCTGCACACTAGCTTTATAGTTTCAACAACTGTTTTATTATTAAATGTTTATTTTTGCTTTAGGTTATAATATGCACCAGATATCAGCTTTTGTAGCAATTAATCAGGAAGTATTTGAGTCTCTGATAAAGTAAAGAAAAATCCTTTGGAAAATCTTATTTAAAGGGGTCCTATTAAAGGGGTCCTGGTCGGGAAATGTCATGCCCCTTACCATAGCCGCCTGTGAGCTTCAGTGTAAATATTGCGGCAATATCAAATCAATTTGAGCGCGAATTAAACCCGGATGATTGTAACCACTCTAAGTTCGTCTGCCTTGGGAAAGCTAGCGTGTCTCCGACATAGTGATAACACTCGTTGCCTTTCTCTAGTGCAGCTCAACCAGGTCTCGTCCCATTCGTCGATATTTGTGATATCACAAATCCCGAAAAATATGCATTGTAGTCCACACGAGTCGTTCGTTGTAGTTTTTGAAAAGTGATTTCTGTTAAATAAAATATCTCCTTTTGAAGTGGACTTTGAGCTTTGTAACTTTGCAGATCTGTTTTATGCTCAAACAGCAACATTACAGACTAGCTAAAGTTGAAAAAGTGAAAAAGCATAATAGGACCCCTTTAAAACAAATGTGACAAGTCCCAAGAATTTGTATTCATATTGGTGTGATATATGGTTTTAAAAAACTTTTGTAAAAAGGTTAAATTCTAATGTTATGTGAAATAAAATGCAACAAACAGGTTAACTGTCCCGGATTCACCCTGTTCACCCTTCACCGCCATCACTCTGCCACGGACTAATCATATGCACCTGTCACTCATCAAGGACACTATTTAATCTTCTCTCACACTCACGGTCTGGCCTCATATGCGTGTACTACGCTGCAGACTTCCAGTTCTTTTGATTATTCCAGCATGATCTCCCTGTGTCTGTGTGGTCCTCGCCATCTCGTCTGCCTCATCTTCCATCTCCTGTCTCCTCGTCAGCACATCTGAGTATCACCCTTGTGTTTTCACCATGTTATCATTCAAGACTGTTCTGTTATCACACCATTTGTGTTAAATAAACCCTGTCTTCCCGAGTTCTTTTTTTACATAACATATTTTCTTTACATCATACATAGTTGTGATTGTATGTACACATCTTTATTTACTTTTTACATTTTTAATAGATTTTAAAAAGTTTCTCTTTTTGTTACAAATACCATAAACTGTTCATTCATAAATTTGAATATTCTAAAATTAAGCGAGTTATTGACTTTGACAGTCATAGGGGTCTGAAGGTATCCCCTTCTATGTTATAATTGCCAGTTTTAGTTTTTTTTGCAAAGGATTTTCCCGTATTGTTGGAGACACAGCCTTGCGGGCAGCGGTCTGATATATGGTGCAGCTGTGCCTCAGGTGACCCAAGTTCAGCATGAAATCCTTTCTGGATCCTGAGCCTCTCTCTCCTCTTCCATTATTTACTGTCTCAACTTCATTATGCTATCTAATAAAGGCATAACTTTGTTGTTCAAATATGAATACGCAGTAAAGCCGTTTTGCTTAAAAAAATGTTTAAAAAAAAAAAAGTTTGCCAAATGCAGTTTTTCTTAATAGAGAATTTAATTCTTATAATGAAGCTTTTTTTCTTCTTCAAAAAAAAAAAAACTAAACATTGAAAAATGTGCACTTCAACTGTAAATATAACAATAGGAATCATGTTCAGTTAAATATGTTTCATGGTAGAAATAAGCTTCCTTAAAATTCTAATTTAAATATAAACGCATACGTATTAGGGAGTGTGCTATAAAAGTTAAAGTAGTTCCATACAAGGGAAGCAGATAGTTGCCTGGTTTCTTTACTGAGTACATCACTTTAAAATGGATGCCTTATGAATATTACTGCCCAATAAGCATCACTGGATGGAAGACTAGAGAGGTAAGAGCTGACATCATCACAAAGCAACCTCTTTGAGATGTCATTTGTGTTGATACTGCACTCCTAGGCTAAAAATACACCAATTATGCAGTCTTAACTTACAGGGTGAGACTGACCTTACAGAATGCAAGAAACTGCAATTCCCAGGTGGCCAGATACATTGTGAAACAGCCCTGAGGTATGAAGATTTGTGTGGTAGCAGATAAGACTTTTTACAAACTTTTCAAATGAATAAGTAGCTGTGATTTTCTTGTGTTAGCATGTGTGTGTATTAGGGACTCTGTCTCACCTCCACAGCAGCCTTGGCTCGAACAAACTCCTCCTCTGAGTGTTGTCTCCCCAGTAAAGTACCACCCAGCTGGGGCCTCTGCCGCTGCACACAGATGGCCACACACATGCAGACAAGGTCAACCAGCAGTCGCTTTGTATCATCGTCTTTGTCCTCAGATCATGCTGAATAAGCAACTTTAAAGTTATGGCCAATATTAATTTTTAGTATACAGTGGCCCCAAAAAGTATCTGAACACTTAAGCAAATGAGACGATAAGCTATCAAACCAAGAGAAATCTGAAAATAAAAGATGCTAAAATCTTTCATAAATAATTTGTCAAGAACTAACAAAATTTAATTGCCATATTGGGATTTAAATTTATCTGAATTCAGTGTGATTTTTAGTGGATGTGCGATGCCAGTTCCTCTCAAGTTTACACAGATGTTCTAGCAGAGTAACTACAGAGGATAGTTATTAAAGGTTGGGTAACTTTAGCCCCAAAATAAAAAAAAATATTACAATAGTTAAATAATAAATAATATTACATAAAAATGTTCAAATATACTACTCTACCAATTTCCTGCAATACCGCAAACAAAGTAGCTTTGTCTTAACTTTGAACAGTTAATCTATTGTTTTATCATGTAGAACCTACAAACATCTTTCTGTAAAATGTTTTCTTTCAAAAGTATGCTTGTGCTGTCCGTTCATTAAGATTGTGTTATCTAATGCAGTGACATTTAGACATATATATTTTTGGTATATTCAATATTTTCTCAGGCCACTGTATATTATTCCTGTACTCAGTTCTTCATTAAAGTTGTGGGCAATATAAAGGTTTAGTATGTAGTATTGCTATGTTTTAATCCTTACTAGTATCTGAGAAATAAATAGAACATGTCTTGCACATTGAGTAATCAATACAGAAAAAATTGGCAAAAACATATTTTTGATGTACACTCAGGAAAAGGGTACATGAAGGAAAACATCCTGTACTTAAAACGAATGTATCTCTTTCCATTAACTGCACTGCATGGAAGGCTTTTTAGGGTAGCATTCTGTAACTGTTACATACAAAGATATATGTGTCTTTCCTCAGGTACCTCAGCTTACTATTTGGATTGGAGTACTTCCAGTATTTGATTTTTTTTCTAATGGAACAATTTTGTTCCCAGAAGGCCTTAGTGGGAAGGGTTTGTACCATTTAAGTGCACACAGGAACAATTTTCTGAGTGTGAGGGGAGATGATGATCAATACGGAATGCTGCTGTAGTCTTTTACATGAGATTAAAGTATCATTAGTATGTACCTGAGGGGCCGGCCCAGGGTCTGACTCCGTGCTAATGCTGAGCTCCAGGGCACTATGCCTGTTAGAGAAATCTGTTTTAAAGTCTGCAGACCTGAAAAGGATGAGATGCTGTGAATGATCTTACTGCTCGCAATAATGATAATGATACACAGAGGCAACTGAATTATTCAACTGAATTGAACAACTCAAATCTAACATCTGATACTCTTAAAATGCATTCTATTTCTTCATCTTTTATAACCAATAAGTAGATTTACCCCCAAAGCTCACTAAAATCAGAGTGTCAAAGACAAAAAAAGAGGCCACTCAGGATTATTTGAAGAGAAAATGGTAAAATATGTAGAACTGACTTAAAATGTTCAATTCCATTTATAATAATGGTATGATGTATTCAAGAACAGTTCTTCTAATAATGTTAGTGACACAGCTGTCCAAACGTGTTTAGCCTAACTACGTGTTAATGTTCTTTTTAAAATGGCTTACTAAATCTAATTTAATGGTGTTGGGGAATAGAAAGTAGAAATTCAACATGCTTTGTTTTTGTTTTACCCCAATATTAGTTATCGAAGTAGCATAAAGTCGCTCTTTATGGCTCCAGAAGAGTTAAGCACACCCTGTGACTACATTAAACACTAAATATGGAAACATACTGTATCATGCCTGGTTAGGACACCATGATAACTTATGCACAATGAGGTGGAAACCTGACCGTACCACAAAAGCTCACTAGATGAATGGTTGGAGGTGCACCTCTTCCTCTCATATCTCCACTTCCGCCCTCCATTCAAGGCACTGTCTGGGTGAAGGCTCACCTCCTCCCATTTCTCCAAGGGAAAGCTGCTCACTGGAGACAGGACAGTTAGTATGGAGTGTGACAGGAAATAAAACTGACAGGCTGTCACAAACTCTGCTTTTAATGAAACAACACATTGGTGCAAAAGGTAGATTAAGGCTAACCAGCAGCAGATAAGGATACAGCTTACAGCTCAAGGCTTGCCTATCTCAACCAGGCTTTAGCCTGCAGCTCGCAATTGATTAAAGCAGTTGGGCCGTGGAATGATAAATATAGTACAACAGGGAAAACATGGCAATGGTTTAGCTTACAGAAGCTTAAAGCGTAATCTACTGGAAATTAACTTTACAGTGCAAGTTGTTAAAGCTTTCCAGAGGATTAAAATAAGCCAGTGTAGCGTTTCATTTGAAACCATTTCTAGCATAAGCTTGAGACAAACAAAACTAAAATAAAATAAAAATGAATACATTTCTACTTGGGGCATCAGTGTCATGAAAGCCACAGTTCTGTGTGTTTAAACCATTTCCACCAATTCAGTTCCACTACTTTAAATCTAATAATATGCTAATGCGAATGCTAAAGTGCAGACTGCTTACTGATCAAGTGGCCAATGGGATTAAAACAAATAGACAACAAAGGGCAAAAATGTAATTACACTGAGAGCCTGGATTAAATCAGCTGTAAATTTAATCATAAGCATCTCTTAAAATGATTAAAAGAACTTTACACTTAAATCAATTTCATAAATGCAGGCCTTTTTATAGATTATAAGGGACAACTTGCCTAATGCGTTAGACGGTTTCATGAATTAACGTTTTGCTCATAGCAGTGTAGCGTCTGGACCAATCAGACACACAATTTTTTTAGTTATATTTAACAAATACTCTGTAACACCCCTCAATCAACAAACCAACTATGAGGGTCTATGGACCCTTCCCCCAAAATGCATCTTAACGCCTCAGAAAGGCAGAACAGGCCTCTGGTTCCATGGCAACCAATGCTGATATCACTGGTTTTATTGCCCAAAGGAATGCGGGCAGAGCAACTCACAATTCATTTACTCTTAGGAAAGACACACAATACCAATAAAAATGGACTCTTCTCTAATTAATTCATAGAAAAACCTTTCTGTGAATGAACACGCATCTCCTCAGGACATTGTGTATACCATTACTGTTCTTGTATATTGTCTTTTGAATTGTATACTGTTTTGTGTGTGTGTTATGATAGATCACTAGTTAATATAACCCCACCGATACCATGTTTGGTCTCTTTGAATTTGTCTTCTGATGATCTAAACGAGAGTGTATATTATACGTTGGTACATAGGCAATATATTAGTGTTCTAAGAATCTTTAGTAATTTTGATTC